TGAACTCTGTTTCCACTCAATCTTGCATGACATTTTGATTAAAATACTAGAGCAATCAAAATGCGACATTGCACACATTAACCGAATTAAAAACTGGCTAACCAATATGTCTCAGAATGTAACTATCCATGGGGATTCATCATGAAGAAGGAATATTTCCAGTGGAGTCCCACAGGGACTGAGACTCATGGCCTGAGACTATCTGACATTTTTATGAATGACCTGGAAGAAAACATAAGCTCATTCCTGATAAAGTTTGCAGAGGACAAAAAAATGAAGGCAGCATTAAATAAACAAAGAGGACAGGTGACTTGTACAGAACCATCTGGATTGCTTAGTAAGCCGGGCACAAGCAAACAATACGGCCGTGTCTACACTAGGAGATTATTTCAAATTTACTAAGTTGGACTTCTGGGCACCTGATTTTACAAATTCGAACTTGCATGTCCTCACTGAGGACACAATACACAGAGAAGGACTGGAACTCCACTTCATTGTCAAGTTTAACACTCATGCAAATGGTCTAAATCAGATGGCTTGCACATTATCAACCAACCAACCAATGAAGGTGCCAACGGTTCTTGATGTCTGTGTAGAATCTGGTGTTAGCACTCTTCCTTTCCTAGTGCAAACGAATGGTTATCAGCCTCTTGTAATTATTTAGTCTTTGAGGTGCTAATAGACTATTTGTTGTTTTTTAAGTTTTTCCTGTTACAGACTGGTTCGACTATCCCATTGAAACTAATCTAACCAATGTCCTTTTTTCTCCCCCACCCTCTCTAATTTTTTTCTTTCCCTCTTCCACTCCCTCCTTCCCTTATTTATTCTTGGTTCTGGACTTCCAACACTCCGGTCATCTGAAGAAGTGGGCTGTGCCCACAAAAGCTCATGATCCCATGGACATGTTTTGTTAGTCTATAAAGTGCTACCAGATCGTTTGTTGCTTTTTAAGTTTTTACTTTGATCTGTCAGTTTTCACTTGCATTCACTTAAATCCTGCTTTTTATGCTTAATAAAAGTGCTTTTGTTTACTATCAAGCTCAGTGTCAATAATTGTTACTTGAAGGGAGAGCCGCAGCTGTGCACAGCTCTTTCATTACTCTTTAGGAGCTTTCTCTGGGTATAACTTTTACACACACACAGATTTACAGGCTGTGTCTCCCCTGGGTGCTGTCTGTCAATGGCCTTATCGCCGATTCCTCCCGGAGCTGAGCAAATTCAGCATCTGTGCTGCTCTGTTGGGGGTGGTTACCCCAACTCTGTGCCTTGGCTTGGGGAGACAGTCCTGACCCAGTAGGACAGAGTGGTGGGGTGCCGCAGAGGGCAGCTAGACGGGCACAGTGGTATGATGAGCACACCGGGGGACAGTCTCAAGGGATCAAACCTGTCTTACGGCCTTCAGTGGACGCAGAGAACAATGGATCACGGTCCTCTCTACAACAATCCTTAACATATTTCCAGATTGTTATCCGATCCAGTGTTCTTTTCTCAAGACCAAGCATGCCCAGTGTTGTAACTTTCTTTGCAGGTCAGGCTTTCTAAACCTTTCAGTATCTTTGCTGCTCTCCACTGCCCTCTCTTCAATTTGTCCACCTTTTCCTCACCGTGTGGCAGCCAGAACTGGACAGAGTATTCCAGAGGTCTGGTTTTGCGCAAAAACTTGCCAGCTGTCCACACTGGCCGCTTGAATTTGCGCAAGAACACTGACTTTGTAATGTACAAAATCAGTGCTTCTTGCGCAAATACTTTCATGCTACTGCTCAGGGATAAGCCCTCTTGCGCAAGTATTCTTGCGCAAGAGGGCCAGCGTAAACAGGCACCTTAATTTTTTGTGCAAGAAAGCACGATGGCTAAAATGGCCATCAGAGCTTTCTTGCGCAAAGGCGCGACTAGATTGGCACGGATGCTTTTCCGCAAAACGTGCTTTTGCGGAAAAGCGTCCGTGCCAATCTAGATGCTCTTTTCGGCAAATGCGTTTAACGGAAAACTTTTCCGTTAAAAGCATTTGCGGAAAATCCTGCCAGTTTAGACGCAGCCGAGGAGTCCTCAGCAGTGCCCCAAAAAGCAGGACAATTGACTCCTCTGTGCCACGAAGGACACTCCCCTTAATACACCCCAGAATAGCAGAAGCCTTTTTTCCACCTGCATCGCGCTGACTCCTCTTTCCTTTGAGAGCCTCGCTAAGGCCCAGTCCCTTTTCAGCAGTGCCAATCCGCCAGGGCCTTGTTTTGAGTGCTCCTAACTAACACTAATTCCGCCCGCCAACGTGCTTGCAACCCCTCTCGCCCCGGTGGGATCTGCAAATGGTACAGACACACTCCTCATTCCGTCATCCCCGTTATGAATTCTACTCCTGACTAGTGCCAGACCCAGGACTGGCCCCCTCGGTTGCCCCTCCCCACTGGAAGGCAAACCCTGGATAACAAGGCTTCTAAGCCCGGACTCGCAGCGAGTGGCATGCCCACCTCAGGGAAATTCCTACTAGGCCACACTTCCCTAGTTGGGGAAGTGCAGGGGGGCCGTTTTCCCTTTTCCCCTGTTTGTGAAGGCCCCCAAACCAAGCGGCATGGTGACCTGGTGCCTGGGTACTTAGCTCTTCTCCGGACCCGCCTGGCTGCTCCCCGTCATGGCGAAGGGGCACCGGGGCCAAATCTGAGGGAAGGGCACTGACCCCTGGCACCAGGTCACGATTGCAGAGTGGGAGGGGTGGGCTCGCTCGCCAACCCCCTCCCCTCAGTTCCAGGGTTTGTCCTGAGTCCCCGCCCCAGGGTGTAGCCCTGCCCACAGTACAATTGCTAATAACCTTCCTGCCCCTCCATGCTCCAGCCACCTCACATCTATCTACAGTCACCCCAATTCCGCTTCCCAGGCAAGCCTTATCCCAAGCATGGAAAAAGCCCCCAAGTTCTCTGGTCTTTTGCAGTTGGGAGGTGGGAAGACAGACCAGGCCCCACCTGCTCAAGGCCGCCCCCCCGCTGAGTGAGGTCCCTGTGGCACGTATATGACCACCCCGCAATGTTCCCTCTAAATTTTTTCCCATCCATGTGCAGAATAAATTTTGTTCTGCGCACCGAGGCACATGCAGAAGTGCACCACCAGCAGACACACATGCTGCCAGCTGTGGGTGCTCTGCCAATCAGCTGGATGGCATCTGAATCTCTCCTGGGCAGGCACCCAAATGCTCGGCTTACAGGGAACACTGCCACTCTGGCCTGGGTGCTGGACCCCATGCCAGGCTTGCAAAGAGCTAGCCCTGAGGGTGGTTGTGTACAGAGGAGAGGGATCTTAGCAAGTCAGCATGGAGAGAATACAGCGATGCAGCCTAGGAGGAAGCGTTTGGCGGCTCCCTGTGAATTGTCCTGCCTTGCCTCTCTACTGAAGCGACCCCACTGTCCCTGCTGAGGCATCCGGCCTAGCATCTGGGCCTGTCACAGACGAAGACCACAGGTGTTACAGTCTGGGGTCTGGAGAGGAAGAGCTGGCTCAGCCAGCAGGGGGCGCTGTGCAAGCTACGGAAGAAACACCTCCTTGAGATCTTCCTTCATTCTGCATCTGCAGATGGCCGAGAGTCAGTCAAATATAAACTAATCAAAAGAGGCTTTCAAAGCTCACGAATTCCCATAGTAGAAAGTTCCCCTTGTTGACTGGGTGGAGGAGCTGCGGTTTCTCCTCTGTTCCTTTGATATGTTGCCTAATGCAGGCTCCGGATAAAGGGAAACCTAAATGCTAAGCACAGAGATTTTGGGCAGGATTCATACTTTACATCTTCAGAAGACCTAGCAGACAGGGCTGCGCTCTGTAATCCTGGGAGCGGGTTCGGACCTGCTCGCTTCACAGAAACCGTGCCGGCGAGGCCGATTTCACAGTGCGGGCGAGTTCCAAACACGGCCTCCGGGGGAAAATGTTTATGGCAGGAGAGATGTTCAGAAATGTTTGTGGCGCGAGGAAGAAGGACGGGCAGCTGGAGAGATGAGTAGAGACTGCGCCAGACCATCTCAGAGCAGCAATGGCGCGAGGAAGAAGGACGGGCAGCTGGAGAGATGAGCAGAGACTGTGCCGGAGCATCTCAGAGCAGCAGAAAGTCAGGCAGATTCAGCTCTGGGAGGACTCCTTCACTCACATGTGGCCTCCCACTGGGCCATCCCCGGGTCCCACACTACTGTCTCCCAGTGGAAGAGCTTGGCTGAACGGCCGCAGGGATGGTCTGAGTCCTGGGGGAAACAGCTGTCTTGTCTCAGAAAGATGCTGCCTAGAGATTGCTGGTTTTCTCTCTTAGGAAGACAAGGCCACGTCAGAGGTAGCCACAGCCTGGGCTCAGGGTGTAATGCAGGCCTGGGGAGAGAACTACAGAACCTGTTGGCAAGGGAGGAGGATTTACAAAGCACAGATAAATCACCCACGTGTCTGATGCATAAGGACTCCAGGACTGGGCCAGCTGCTGGTCCCCGGGTACATGTCGTAGCGCTGGCAGTGTATGCTATGTAAGGTCATGCAACAGGTCAGGACTGGAGGCAGGCTCTCCCCCATCCATGCCTTCTGCTCTAACCACTGAGCCACCCTTCCTTTCTGAACACCCCAAGCGGGGGGCTGAGCAACCAACCAGCTAAGCCAAAAGCCAGCTGCAAGTCAGGGCCCCCAGCGAGCCCCGGCGTTGCCACGTGACCTTGCTTGGCATTGCATGGATTCAGAAACTGGCAACTGGGTGCACTATGGCATGGCCCCTGCCTCTGAATCAAAGCCCCATGCCACACGTGACCCCCCCGGGGACAACGGCACTGCAGGAGTGCAACAGGCGCGTGGTACTTACAGGGTCTTCAGGCTGTAGAGGCCGGAAAAGGCTTCTCCTGGGATCTGGGAGAGCTGGTTTCCAGAGAGGCGCCTGCAGAAAAGAGGAGACAATGTCATCAACGCCCCGGAATGCTGCTGCTTTCCCCTCGAGTGGCTGCTCCAGGGAAGGGGATAATGGCCTACTGCTGCTGCCAGCTAATGGTGTCGCTTCTATGGCCATTCCGTGTCCTGCTGGAAGAGGCTGCTGAGCCACAGTCTCTGGGGCAGGGGAGAGGAAATGAAGCGTGCCTTCGAAGAGGCCTTGACTTTTTTCTTCCACAAAGCTACCCGCTGGCCGTGACGGTAAGGAGAGGCCCTGCTTTCTGGCCTGCAAGTCCACTGGGAGACGGCCCCACAGAGAACAGGGTGGCAGGGAAAGGGCGCCCCTTACTCATTAGGAACAGGGTTATTTTCCCATCCGTTCCCATGCCCTCTCTTGCCACCCTATCATTCGAAGAGGCCTTGACTTTTTTCTTCCACAAAGCTACCCGCTGGCCGTGACGGTAAGGAGAGGCCCTGCTTTCTGGCCTGCAAGTCCACTGGGAGACGGCCCCACAGAGAACAGGGTGGCAGGGAAAGGGCGCCCCTTACTCATTAGGAACAGGGTTATTTTCCCATCCGTTCCCATGCCCTCTCTTGCCACCCTATCAGCCCTTCCTGGCACCGTTTGGCCTGGCGTGGCCTAGTAGCGTGTCCCCACCGCTCCACCGGCCTGCTCAGCCTTGAGAGCACTGAGGGGGGGGGGGGGGGGGGGCGTCACGCTTCTTTGAATTCCTTCCAACAGATCAAATATCAAAGTGCTGGGCGCGGCCGTGACTCCTCCAGGGCTCAGCAGGGCTCCGGTGCCCTGCATCACCCCATCGATTCAGGCTGAAAAAGCTGCAGGAGGGAGACGAATACAGAAATTCTCTCCGTGCCACTGCAAACATCCCTGGTGCCCCACACGGGAATAAGATCTAATAGAATTGGAAAAGGAGCAGAGAAAGGCAACAAAAATAATGAGGGGCATGGGGCAGCTCCCATCTGAGACAAGATTCAAAACATTGGGACTTTGCAGCTTGGAAAAGAGAAGGGGAGAGATGCATGAGGTCTATAAAATCAAGGCTGGGGTGGAGGAAAAGTGTTATTTACCCTAGGGACACTAACAGGCAGCAGATTTAAAACAAAGGAATCACTTTTCATAAAACTCACAATTAATCTGTAGAAATAATTGTAATTGGATGTTGCGAAGGCCAAAAGTATAACTGGGTTCCAAAAAAGAATTAGGCAAGTCCATGGGGGATAGGCCCATCAACAGCTATTAGCCAAAACAGGCAGGGATGCAGCCCATGTTCTGGGCGTCCCAAAATTTCTGGCTGCCAAACGCTGAGACTGGATGACCAGGGTCTGAATCCCATTAATTTCCACTGAAGTATGTGGTACTAGCCACGGTGGGAGACAGGATACTGGGCTAAGTGGACCCATTGATTTGTTCCAGTAGGTCTGTTCTGATGTTCTTAGAGGCAGAGGAGGTTCAGAATCAGAGAGAGGTGATGGAATGAACAGGGGAGGTGAGGAGGAGATAAGGGAAACTCTCTCGTGGAGACCGTACTGTCTGAGATGGCCACCTGCGCAGGCTGGGGAATGAAGGGGGGGTGGGGAA